GTTACTTTAACCAAGAAATTTGATCATATCACCCCTGTATTGATTCAACTGCATTGGTTACCTGTTCACTTTCGGATTCTTTTTAAAGTTTTATTGTTAGTTTATAAGGCGCTAAATGGTATGGCACCATTATATATCACGGAATTACTTAGTTATCGTACATGTTCACGTACGCTACGCTCTACTGATCAAAAACATCTGGCAGTTCCGAAGTCAAGACTTAAAACATACGGAGACAGGGCCTTTTCCGTTGCTGCACCTAAACTCTGGAATGAGCTGCCATTAGATCTTAGAAGTTTAGCTACAATTAATTTATTCAAGAAACACTTAAAGACTGATCTTTTTAAAAAAGCATATAATGTTTAACTTTTTGATAATTTAGAATAGGATTTATTGTGATATTTTTATAAATAAGACTGCTAATAGGTTTTTAATTTATTCGTATTTTATTACCAGTGGGATCTTTTTAATTATTTTAATATTATGAATTGTAAAGCGCTTTGGTCAATTAGTGGAGTTAGCGCTATATAAATTATGTTATGTTATGTTTTTGTATATTTTTCAAAAATGCCGACAAACAAAGGCAAAAGGGAAAAGATGTAATTTGCAATAGAATTAAATATGGTCTATCTAAGCTGATCTTGCTTGAATCCGTAAAAACAAATACAGTGTGCAGAGCGCATATATTGTTAACATAATATCCACATATCTGATTATCTTAGAATGAAAATTTTCCTCCATAAAAAAAACTTATTTGAAAACTGCGAGAAAAACTATAAACAAACCTGTAGTAAACAGAAAATCGCCAACGTTTCATCTCCCGGGTGAGAAAAACAGAACACATGAGATCGAGGCAAAATGTGCCAGGCCGGTCCAAGATGGCGTCCAAACCGTGAAATCGCATGGCATACAAAACGGTTACTACTTCATGTACGGTACGCAAAAGGACTAGACAACCTTAATCATGTTTTATTCTAATTATTCTCACCTCAAGCAACAGACAATCATCGAGAATATAGGTCCAAAGTGGAAAAATTAAATGAAATCTTGAAAACCCAAACCTAGTATTTTCAAATTGGGTTGGTTTTGCACAACTCTTGGCATGCTTGGACGGGTCGGGAATCAACTCCATGGAAAAATCTGATCTCTTCCCTGGTTATCTTTTCTGATCAATTAGGGTGAAAACTACTTTATGACGGAAAGGCCATGACAATGCCTCGTCATATTCCCCTTTCATGATGACCAAAAATACTGACAAATATCCATTTTTGTTGCTCTTCGTGTCCCTGGGATAAAAAGATACTTTCATTTTGTAGCCATTGATAGATGAGTAGAAAGGTTCGCTCTGTAATTCTGTCTTTCCGTACGGTTCAGGTGGTTTTAACATCTTAGTGATGCCTCTTATCTTCCACGACAGCTGAGGAGTTACATTCATAAAATTGAATTCCATGGGTTCGCCGGGCAATTTAAAGCCCGAGAGACTCGGGACTATAGGTGTACTACTTACTTTCTCATCATGCACTGATTCGTGTGTCGTGCTAAGAGAAGCAATCTTCTTGAATAGAAAACTGTTTACTTTTTTCATGTCGATAATTTGTTTCTCTAACCCAGACACTTTTTCTTCCAGTTTACTTGTCTTTTCTCTGAACTCCTCTTGAGTGCTACGCAGGTTTAAGCAGGCCAAATCAAGGTGTTTACTCGTGGCCGATTGCAGGTGTGACTCAACTTGATTTCGTTTAGTCTGCAAAAAATGAGGTAGCCAATCAGCTTTCTAGCTTAAAAAAACTGTAACTGAGAGGATTAAAGTCTACCGCAGCAATGGGTCAAAACAGCTACATTTTTATTACTTTTTAAGTTAATACAACTTTATTGAATTTATTGATGTCAATATTTATAGGCGACATATTCATGAAGTTAGGTAACAGAAAATTACGTGGGAGCGGACACCATTCAAAACGCTGGAAAACGGAGCGATATTACGGAAAACCGAACCGTTATACGCATGAGGGTGCTGATCATTCAAGATTGTGAAGGGCTATTAAAGCCCGAAGGAAACGTTTGCACATTGGAAAACGAAGATTTGGAAACTTAAATAAACAGTTTTTTTGGCAACATGCCGGAAGAAGGTAAAACACAGGCAAATTGTCTGAGGTATGCAGTGGTAGTTGACTAACACACTCATGTTTCATCCAAATTGAGATCTCTATGACCAGAGAAGTGATTGATTATGTTTGGTGAACTCAGCAATGAGCACCTATTCATTAGCCCAGATTTTGGCCTTTTCCGTGTATCGGTTTCAAAACGTCACACTAGACTTATTAAAATTTACCTTGACATCACACCCCATATGAACATAAGGACAGGCTACTATCTCAAGAGGATAGTCATTTTCAGTGTGATCAGTTATCTATGAGAGAAAATCATGAACTTAGAGGACCAGACCCTTTTTTGTGTAGGAAAAGTTAAGAAAAACAAGTTTTTATTGTTATGTTAGTTATACAATAGTTTTACTGTCAATAGCATAAACAAAAATTCTTTTTTATAAATTCACATTTATGACGGAAGTTGGGCTTTCCAGTTGATTTAATTTAGGCGTGGAGCTTCTCAATTTTCGGTTGTAACGCCGTCTCCGAGGTAAGTCATGTGTAAACGGTGGATGAACTGGGGCGGATGTAAAAGTGGTGGTGTCCTTACAATTACACTAGGCATGAACAACCTTACTGGTTAAAATAGAACCTGAAAAAACTTCCGCAAGCTTACCAAGAATCGGACCCTGTATTATCCCGCTCTTCACATCATATCTGTCTTTCTCTTGAGCCATCTCATTTCCACCTTCTGGATATTACGACTATATTCGACTTTGCACTTCTCTGTTGGCTCTATTAGCTCTGCTGGATAGAGCGTTGCCCACATTCATCGCAAAGGTCGGGATTCGATTCCCAGGTACATTTCAACCTCTGGTTTGTTCAGTTACTGCGAGGATGACTTCCACTCTAATATCTTAATTTCATCCGCAGTTCACATTATCATCATCATCATTATCATGTCAGCGTCATCATCATCATACGCGCTGCTTACATATAAAATTATAGTCATCTACTCTAGAATGAAACATATTTTTTTATGACTGCATTTGACGTAACGAAGATCTGGGCTTTTTTGTGTTGTAGTCTGTAAAAATCCATCTGGGTGAGAGTGGCTTCATTGCCCGATCCTGCGTAGACTTTTTGAAGCATGGCGTGTTGGAGAACGGTTTTTATTTGCTCTTTGATGATCAAGGGCAGAGATATTTGGCCTACTGTGATCTCGCATCTGAACCAGGTGCAGCCTGGACTTTAGTCATGTCCTGGTCCCGCACATTGAAGAACTTGCCTCAGTTGCAAAGCAAGTCATTTATGCAGGATGCTCCTGTCAACGAGAATACCCCAAATTGGTACTCATACCGCCAGACTCTGGCTCGGATGAAAAACATCCGCAGTCGCTCCACTCACTGGCGAGCTACTTGCAGGGGATAACTCAACGACACAGTGGTGGTTTCATGGTTACTTGACCAAGTCATAGCGATTGAATAATTAATTCGTGATCCAATAAGCCGAAGCCCTAAGACTGATCAGCATTAATTTTCTCCTTGCAATATCTTTGCTTTAAAAAAATCGAATGATCCGGAAAATCAAGGATAATTATGATCACAAAAAGTGATACTTTAACAAATTATCCTCACTACTTCTACAGGGAACGAATAATGTGATTTCCAACCGCCGTTTATTGACATTAGGGCCATTTATACGAGGAAAAATAAGACGCGTCTTAAATAAGACGCGAACTTTCCGTATAAACGGCACATTTCGTCTAAAATAAGACGCGACTTAGCTAAGACGCGTCTTATTTTAGAACAGCCCTTAACACCTGTTCTTAGATAAGACGCGTCTTAGCTAAGACGAGAAAAACTTCGTATAAATGACCTTCGCGTCTTATGGTACGCATGCGTTAATTTTTGGCGGGAAAATTTTCGCGCCTTGTTGGTTGCCGTTGCTACGGGCAACATTCACATGAAAACGAGTCAAGAAGAGAAATAAGACGCGAACCATTTATACGAGCTGTTCTCGTCTTAGATAAGACGTGCTCGTATAAATGGTACAGTTTGCGCCTTTTTTAAGACGCGTCTTATGTAAGACGCGTCTTATTTTTCCTCGTATAAATGGCCCTATTAAGAGCGATTGGCGAGAGCAAGGTTTTGGTCTGTTAGAAAATTAGAAAAGAACGAATAGTTTTTTAGAAGTTGCAAACGGCAGTAGTTAAGTTTATTACTTCCAGTGCAGCGTGAAGGAGTCGAAAAATCTATTGTTGACTGGTTGATATGGATTCAGGGCCTCCATTTTGCTACTGGCCTTGGTTCCGGAAGAATCAGAATGCAAAGCTTGCTGTTAATCCATGCTGGCTAGATTAGACGTTGGTGTAATTTAAACAGAGTAACTTTGAATGTGTATCTGCCAAATAAACTGAAGATAGCAGGTTTCTGCAGCAAGCACTTGTTGAAGTACCACGCTTACAACTACTATTACAGCGAAATTCGTTGAATCGCGCTGCGCGTTTTTGAAACTTAGAAGGGATTTTGGGTTTTTCTGTTTTGTCAATCATTTAAGTGAAGGCAGGTTAATGCAAATCACAATGTAACGCGCTCGCCCAGCTTGGCTGAGAATGACTCTAGACTGCCGGCTCAAGAACAGCGAAGGAAATCGCGATGGTGAGTAGATTTTTTTTCGAAGGAAGGAGGCAGACACTGCTTTATTCTTGCAAGTGACAAGAATGAGAAAGACGATAAAAATATGCGAAGCAAAGTTAACTAGTCGATTATTGCCCGAAACAGGACCATCACAAAGCAACGAACCTTGAAACACGAAACAAACAAAACGGATCGAAATCCACCAATCACGAATCACAATCATGACCTTTTAAACTCGTGCAAGTAAACACGTGTTTCCTAAGAGGTCCGCCAAGACGATTGACGGAACAGAAAACCCACAAGATGCAAAACGCACAGCGCGATACAACGAATTTCGCTATAAATTGTGATTCTACACAACTCGGCTCAGGCCCCCTCCTTATTTTTAGACCAAACTGAGGCCCAAAGGGCCGAATGAAATTTTTGGAACCGGCCCTCCCCCGCCTTATCTAAGGGTCTGGATGACGCCCCCCCCGTCGCGATGATTTGAATGAAAACAAGATCAAGTGACAACGCTGAGACTTGACTCCAACCTCGTTCCCAGCTATTGTTTCTCTCCTTCCCATTGCCAGAGTATCCTAGCTTGCACAGACATATGCATAAGACCAATCAGTACTGGAGCAGCCATCATTATGACGGGTAGAGGGGAACCGTGGGAAAGAGGTTGATGTAACTGGAGCCTTTTGGCGTGAGACCAGACCCGATCCTAGGTTCTCTCCCGTACCCCTAGAAGAGAACCCCGGGGACGAGGTTGGCGTGAGACTAATGTAAAGCTTTTGTCTTGGATCTATCTGTAATCATAGTGCTTATACCATGCATTTCGCGAAACGTTTTGCGCAGCTAATCAAAGGGCACCTTGTATTGAGCCAGGAACTTACTGCTTTTCTCGATGGGTTCGTTCCGTGATCCACATTTGAATCCAGTCAGTTAATTTCAGTATATTTTAAAAAGAGACAAGATCGAGTATCTGTCACAGTAGGAACACGTGACGTAAGCATTTCTTCTGCATACAAAATCGACTCAAAATGACAAACAAATACTTCCGCCCTTCCCAAAGCGATAGAGCGTATCCGATTCACTTGATCTACTGGTTCGTTTGGTTAGTGCTCAGTTGAATATGGCGGAAGCTCAAGCAAATCTATCCCCTGGTGGATACGACGAGGAGTTTGTTAACGAAGTGGAAGACGATTTGCAATGTGCAATCTGCCAGTTAGCATTGAAGGATCCAATGCTAACGAAGTGTGGTCACAGATTTTGCAGACAGTGTCTCGACGAGCACTTTAAGAGGTATTAAGTGTTGTGATTTATTCGAACTGGAATGTCTGTTTATGCGAATGGTAAATGCCCTATTCCAAATGTACAACTGCAATATAAAATATCTTTACAATTACAGAACCCAGTCAAAGGACTCAAAGGAATGGTTCACGAATAAAGGGGCTGTAATTTGGGGTCTGTCCTCAATAACCTTTAAAACAAGACAAGACATGTCTGAGTATGAGAGTATTAGATACAAATGAGTATTATATAAGTTATAGATGCAGGTCCTTTTGAAAGGAAGAAATAGTTGTCTAAGTTTTTGAACGTGTTTATTGTGGGCCAAGAAAAGCTGTATCTGTCCTCCGGGGTTTCATATCGTAGGGAAAAACTGGTAGTGAATGTGGTGATGTGTGAAATCTTCGGGAACAAAACGCAGTAACCGTTCAAGTACATTTGGACGAACAGATTCACGTCATTAATGGAAAAGCACGAATAATTAAATAAACGTAACTGCTTTTGGTTCAAACATGAATATCTCAAAAGGCTTGTGACAATCCAATCTTGTCTAAACGAGTATTCCATGCACTGAATTAGCAGGCAACCTGAACACTCTGTGAACATGGAAAGGCGACAGATTCTTAGACTTCTTACACGAGACAACTTGCGCTCTTTTGCATCGCTTGTGGAGGTTTTAAATGCAAGGTTGTCTCGAACATTCCTATCGATACAAACATTTTGTTTTAAACATGCCTTATATCGCAGGTTCTAGTATCGTTATCCACTTTGCGCTAGCGATTCAATCGTATTTGCCATTTGTTACGCCGTGTTACGCTGCATACCAAATGCAAAACACCAATGACCGCCGGGCTAGCTTTTCCTGTCAGACATTCTAAGCATAGCGTCTGTTTGCTTCTTTGTTTGTTTTGTTGGTTGGTTTTTTTGTTTTAATTAACATTAACACTTATCTCAAGCTCTGACGTTTAGCAGTGTGGAATTTAAATGCCACAAGCGGAAAGCCATGTTCAAGGGCTGCATAATTTTCTGACTTTTGATCTAACCCGCGGGGTACTCCCTTATGCAAGCCATAACGGTGTGTGCCGCCCCAAAGGGTAGGGTTTTTGCGCCGTTTTGCTCTGAAAAACGGTTAAAAACTTTGCCCATTTTGGTCTGGATCGGGTATTGTTTTCGAGGGAACTACCGGAATCTATGAACATATTTATCGTTTCAATTCCAAATGATTAAGAAAGAAAGAGAAATATGCGAATTCCTATTTTCTTGCTGTTCTTATCTAAGTAATGATCACATAATTTCTATGGTTTTTAGAGGCCAGGTCTGAAAACGGGTGTGAAAAATGACATTTTTTGGTCTGCAATAGGGTCAGGATTTGGAGAACCGGGCGGCACATACCCACCAAGAATTCCCAGGAGTACCCCCGGGTGAACTAAAAACTGATTTCGCTGAATATGAAATACGGGACGTGGAGGTGGGGTACCCCAGATAGGTGAGGTAACATGTTGTGGGTGACCCCACCTAACATGTAAACGTGATCAAATTAAAATGAGAGATTATATGGACAAACGGGTTACCCCACCTAAGCGAATTACCTCACCTACCAGGGGTCCCCCACCTCCATGTAAACAGGCCTTTGCAGATTGGCGCAAAATTAATTTATAGCAATAAGGGCAGATATGAAACCTTCTCCGAATTCAGGATTCACTTTTTCCTACATAACATCATTAAAATGTTGTATCATATTACATTAATTTATTTCTGCTCGTTTCTGAAAATTTTTTCTCTATTTTTTAAACAGTCAGCAAAGTGCTGGTGACCAGGTAACTTGCCCAGTTGATCGAGGCATTCTCATACAAAACAGAGTAAGTGAATTCAGGTTTTGTTGGCTTTATGGGTTAAAGGATCGTTAAGTTGAGTTCTAAGACATTATAGATCAGACTTAAGAATTTTAAGGTGTCATTTCCCTTTTAATTTCCCTTATTCTGTCTTGTCTGCGGCTTTCTTTCAGTGGACAGTGTCAAACGCTTCTGCTGAGACGGGTTGCTCATAAAGGGAGAAAAGACATGGTACCGTTAGATGAAATATAATGCTAAAATTGGTTGGGTTTGTTTGATTATAATCATAGTCGTGATTGATCATTCTTTAGGACCTTTTCCCAGATAAAGCAACAGAACGGAAGATTCTTTCATTTTTTGTCCATTGCCCAAGTGAAGGATGTCAGTGGACTGGCGAACTTAGGTCCAAAGATGTAAGTAAGATTTTGATTTCAATTTGCATTACGCCAAAGGAAATAAACGCAGTGAGAAAAAAAAGTGATACAATGCAACGGAAAGATAGCATGGGGCTGTTTAGTCAGTCAAAAGTTTATGATTTTGTTAGGAGGAAACTGTATTAAATGAAAATAGCAGATTGCATTATCTCATAAGCCAGGCTTTTGATAATCCTTTTGTTCAAAAATTGATGCATGAAGAGTTTTATTGGACCTCTTTCTACCTTTTAAAGGTTCATCTGGAATCGTGCCCTCATAAGGTTGTTTCCTGCACAAATGAAAACTGTAACAAGACAATGACCAGGAATAATTTACAAGCACACGTGACTACAACGTGCCCATGGAGAATTCTTCAATGTTGTCACTGTAGCGAATTATATCCGGCACGCAAAGCTAAGGTAAACGTTTTTTTGTACGATTATTTAAATAAATTATTACAAAATCATTCGAAGTGGATCATGTCAGAAAACACTTTGTACTGTGTTATCTACCTTCCACTATGATGGAAAACGCCCCAGTTAACATGAAGGGAAGTATCCGCACCAACTATGTCTGAGATGTTGTTGAAGTTGTTGGGTATACTGCTGGCCCCTTCAGCACAACCCTTCTCTGAGTCTGCTCTCAACGTACCTTTAACTTCCGCTGATAAGGGGTTTTAGGAGGGCGTATAAACGGGGGCTTATATCCGGATGGGCTTATAACAGGACTAAAAAGGAGCGTTTTTAAACAAGCTACATAGCGGCGCTAATCGAAATACTTTTTTGCAGTTACTCGCTTTTTTAAGCTTCAAAACGTTGTAAAAAATCTAGTACATTTCCATTCAAGTAAAGGGGGGCGGGGGGTGGAGGGGCTTATAATCGGATGTCGTATGTTTTTGTTTACAAGTAGATGAGCCTAACAGGGCGGCTTATTAGAGGGGGACGCCTATGAGTGGAAGCTCACACATAAATGAATGAATAATAATGTCAGCTGTCTCACAGCGCTCTTGAGAAAGCTGTTTAAGGTGGCTCGACTGGCCAATTTTGTTGATAGCATGGTTATTCACTGTTGTTATGACCCTTAAAACTTCGTTCCAAAATATTTTCAAAACGCTAGAAATTGTTCACACTTTGCCATAATCGAGTCTGTGAAGGGAGGCACGAGCTCCCTTAAGCGATTTCCAAAAAAAGATCCTGGTTCCGAGAAATACAAAGGCAAGTTAAAAACGTAATGGCGCCATTACGTTGTTATGGTAATTGCGATGTCAGTTAAACATAAATCATAACAATTTTTCATCTTTACGCAATACAGCGGTGGTAACTTTTTTCCCGATATTTTTGTTAATGATGACGTAGTAAATGCTCAAAATCCCTAAAAAATTTATTCGAGCCACCTTAAGTTACAAAAGATAAATTTGATAGCATTTCATTCAACAGGCTCACGAACTTGATTGTAAGAGAAAACCGCTAAACTGCCCAAAAAACTGCGGCGCTGTCGTCCCGCAAGAAGAGGTAACGCCGAGTTCAATAGTTCACTTTTAGAAAACAATAACGAGTAGACTAATAGGCCCTCTGCAACTAGCAGTGGGAGATCCCCCCCTTATTTTTAGACCAAACTGAGGCCTGAAGGGCCGAAAAAAAAATTTTAGACACCGGGCTCCCCCCCTTATCTCAGGGTCTGGATGACCGGGCCCCCCGCCTTATCTGAAGGTCTGGATCTGCCATTGACTAGTCCTTTACGTGGTGAGAGCAAGGGACGAACTGGAAAGAGACAAACAAAGAGCTCTTATCATTTAAAATGGTAATCAGTTCTTTGTTTGCCTTGTCACAGTGCGTGTCTTGCTCTCTAGCTAGTAGGCCGGTTTTGTACCTCGTGAAGGGCCCATGGTTTTTGTAGAAACCAACACTTTCGGCGTTATTTCAAGTTTTGGCGGAAATGTGTGTAACGAGCAAACAAGTTACTTACTTGTAACAAATAAACAAGTAAATTTTTGTACGTGCCATTAAAATATTCATTGGACCCATTTTGGGCTACTTCGGTTGTTCGTGGTCTAGTATTGTTTTGATTAGTTTATCTACTTCTTCTTCAAATACGATTTGCCATTGTTTCGCTTTTTGTCGAAAACGATGGCACACTACTCAATCTCTGTAACACAATAGGTTAGTGAGTTACAATGAGATTGCAGGATTCTTGAAATCATACCAGTTAATTTCGACAGTTTGTTTGGCGAGATGCTCATGAAATTACCTCAAATGCAACAACACAGGCATACCAATTTTGGAATGTTACTTGTATTTTGAAGAGGTTTTTTGTTGCGAGGCAGAAGAAGGCTTTTTCCCACCCGCTTTCCCAGGACTTTATTCCTCATCATGTCATTTCACTCATCCTCAGTGGTATGGAATATGATACTTTTCCTTTTCATTACAGCTATTAACGCACGATGAAAAAGACTGTCCGCTGACCATAACGCCATGTCCGTATGCTCAAATGGGGTGTACGACAAAGGTAAGTTAACCGTCATTCAGAATAGAACAATTTCCTTGATAAATTTTCATTTGAAGTGTAAAAAATGTATGGGGTTTTTTCTTTCTTTTTCTCCATCGTTTTTTTAAGCCAGTGCGTTGATCTTGACTTATAATTTAGGATATGTCAATAATAACGAATAATGGCATGAACCCATTAACTCAATTTTGAAGACCTGCACTTTTCAACCTCTACTGACGACTTTTTCCAAATTATTATTGCGGCTTTGCTGTAGCTTATCTCTCGTTGTCATTTCATAAGTTATTTAAATGAACCTCTCAGTTCGCCCGGACTTTTTCGACGCTTCGGTTGGCCAATGAGAGTAATTAGGATTTAGATTTTATATTTTAACCTAGTCATTTCTTTCACGTACAATATTTCTTAATCAAACAAAAGTGGACTTAACTGGTGTCACTTGAGGGAAATTAGTTACGCAGACAGGAAGGGCGTATAGTATCCTTTAGCACAAAAGTCTTTTTTATTGCAGGTTCAACGGAAAGAGATTGAAAACCATCTTCAGGAAGCTGTACGACCACATGTTGACTTGGCTTTTGCAAAACTAACTAGCACACAAGAGGAGTTGCAAAGGTCCCAGGATTTAACAAGTAAACTTAACGAGAAGTTCAATGCACTAGAAAGGCAATTTAAAGAGAAGCAAGGTACTCGTCATAGTCTGTTAAGTGATGACCATAGCGAAAAGGTCAATGCACTTGAAAAAGAAGTAAGAACTTTAAAAAAAAAAGCAATAGAGCTGCAAAATAGGGTGGAAACACTGGAGATGATTGTTAAGGACGACTCTAAGAAAGGCGATTCAATGGAGAAAAACCTTCGCCTGCTTCAGACACCTTCAAATCAAATGCGTAAGATCGAGCAAAAAGAAAGAAGATGCATGTCTAAGGAGTTTGCCATACTGCCAAGAGAGGAAATTTGCTCCGACATTGACCCTCGTTTTTGGACAAAAGAGTGGAAGATTCAAGGCTTCAGAGGATTTCTTAAACGGGCCGAAGAAGAGGGACACGAGATACAGAGTAATCCGTTCTTCTTGGGTGAAAAGGGTTATAAAGTTAAATTGGGCCTAGGTATTTCAGGTTCTAACCTCAGCATCCACTTTGTAATAATGAAAAGTGAAAACGACGTCATATTACCATGGCCTTTTTCTAAGCGGGTTAGTTATGAAGTGATTGATCAACAGAAAAATCCACGAGCATGTATGCATTGGACTGAAAAATGTAACCCTTTTCATGCAGACGACAGGTGGGAGAAAAGTTTTCTGCGGCCTAAACTGGAAGAGAATCCTCGATGGACCAACCAAATTCCTTTATCTTGTTTAAGTGAAAGGTGTTACCTTTTGAACGACACTGTAATTATTAATGTGTCAGTTAATCGATGAGGGTAAAACGAAAAATAATTTGAAAATTACTTGACCTCTTACTTTTTTCTCGGCGGCAGTAACTTTGAAATTGGTTGGGGCCATTGCCTTAGCGCGAAAAGAACATGTCATATATATGACGTCAGTACCGGCTTTTTTCAAATCATTTTTCCAAAAGTAGCCTTCCGTTAATTACAAACGCACTAAATGAATTATTCAGCGAGTTTTTAGAGCAATTTTTAAGTGATGACATCAAGTTAGTAGGACAGATGATTTACTGTCAGCTGCAAACTTGGGAACGAGTGCATGTCACGCCGGCGTAAAAAAAAACGTATTTGACACTGGCAAAGCAGATTTCCTAGCTGTACATATAGAATTTTCTTCAAAATGGAATGTGAAAAAGAGCTCGAGCTTGTTTTATTAGTGTATGATACGCCAAAACAAAATTGATTTATTGTTTGTCAAAGACATCAAATTCTGGTGTTGTTTCGGGCTCTTCTTTCTCTGTGTCACTTCCTAATAATAAACCTACGAATAAAATATTTTTCTTTTATTCTGCTTTGAAATCTGCTGTAGTCAATATTTCAAGCAGCTAGATAATGCATAAAAATCACTATTAACTTATCTTTGCAAAATTGTGTTGAGATCTCACAAATGCAATAGATCGATTTAAGTGGGATTGTTCATGTTGTGAAAGTTGTCGTTATTGTGACAAGTGTACATTTAAACGTATTAACGCTTTTTGTGGTCTGTCACTTTTTGAATGCTAGGGTTTTCCCCGAATGGAGGTTAAACCCGGGTTTCGGGACCCAGAAAAAGTGTCGCTTTCCCCTGAATTAAGGTGTCCCTTCAATAGAGGAAACAGGACAAGGTGTACCAAAGGAGAGGTTCCACAGTAGAATGGACTAGAAATTTCCTTTGTTTGATTTGTTCCAATGCGTCCCTTGCTCATATTTAAGAGTGACGGTTTTGTACCAGGTGAATATCCAGCTGTAAAGGGCCAGTTATTGTATGTCCCCTTTCAATTCTCATAATGAGGAACCTGAGAGAGCACAGTGTAACGGCTGACGTTCTTTATTCTGAAAATTGCCAAGAGACTTGCCTTATTCCTTCATGTTTAATAGCCGCAAATGGCAAAAATGCCGCATTTTCGCTCAGTCGTTTTTGCTTGGACAAGCGTTTAGTTGTAATGTTAGAGCGGTTTGCCTCATCTTGGAGTCGTTTTGGTGAAGAAAAGAAAAGCGAGAACACTCTGTAAGTGATAATATTCTTTTTTTAATTCTTTTAATCATTATATATTATTTTATGTAGCGATTTCCTTTTTGCACTAAGGGGTTTTTACATCACTTTTAGAGTCAGCGTTTTGGCCACGTGACACAAGTAGTTATTCGTTCATGTCACTAGGACATGTTGCAAGATATTTTAAGTTATCATTTACAGCTTTTTTCCTTAACAGCCTTTTCCTTTTATAGCATATCGAACTACTTTGCCTTGTCACGGGAAAGATCTGAAGCTTTATATTTCGTAATTACCTTGTTAGCTTAAGACTGGGCCATTAAGTTGAGTTGTCTCAAGTCAAAAACTGATTCAAATCAACTCAGACATAGAGAGATAAAAGAACAGGACCACTGCCTACCATACAACACAGTTCAGCCATATCTATTCATTATTTTGCTCGATAGTGACTTTTGGCCTTAAATTTACTTACGCGTGTGTCGAAGATCTGGCTGTATAATTTCCTCTATATAACATGCACATTACCTATCTATTGTATAGGGATATTTATTAGTCTTTTACATGAGTAGTAATCAACAGTGTCCCCAATTAGCTTCAAAAGCTAAGCACTTTTTTATATTTTAGATTCTTAGAACATACATGCAATCACAACCTTACACTTCTTTATCATGTTGATTTATTATCGTACTTTATTTTATTCATTATCCTCACTTCAAGTAATAGAGAATCGTCGAGAATATAGCTCATAACTGAATAAATCAAATGAAAGTACCAAAACCCAAACCTAGGATTTTCAACTTGGGTTGGTTTTGCACAACTCTTGGCATGCCTGGAAGGGTCTGGAATCAACTCCATGGAACTATTCGATCTCTTCTCCGGATCTCGTTTTTGGTCAATTAGGGTGAAAACTACTTTATGACGGAAAGGCCATGACAATGCCTCGTCATATTCCCCTTTCATGATGACCAAAAATACTGACGAATATCCATTTTTGTTGCTCTTCATGCCCCTGGGATAAAAAGATACTTTCATTTTGTAGCCATTGATAGATGAGTAGAAAGGTTCGCTCTGTAATTCTGTCTTCCCGTATGGTTCAGGTGGTTTTAACATCTCAGTGATGCCACTTATCTTCCAAGACAGCTGAGGAGTTACATTCATAAAATTGAATTCCATGGGTTCGCCGGGCAATTTAAAGCCCGAGAGACTCGGGACTATAGGTGTACTACTTACTTTCTCATCATGCACTGATTCGTGTGTCGTGCTAAGAGAAGCAATCTTCTTGAATAGAAAACTGTTTACTTTTTTCATTTCGATAATTTGTTCCTCTAACCCAGACACTTTTTCTTCCAGTTTACTTGTCTTTTCTCTGAACTCCTCTTGAGTGCTACGCAGGTTTAAGCAGGCCAACTCAAGGTGTTTACTCGTGGCCGATTGCAGNTCGCCGGGCAATTTAAAGCCCGAGAGACTCGGGACTATAGGTGTACTACTTACTTTCTCATCATGCACTGATTCGTGTGTCGTGCTAAGAGAAGCAATCTTCTTGAATAGAAAACTGTTTACTTTTTTCATTTCGATAATTTGTTCCTCTAACCCAGACACTTTTTCTTCCAGTTTACTTGTCTTTTCTCTGAACTCCTCTTGAGTGCTACGCAGGTTTAAGCAGGCCAACTCAAGGTGTTTACTCGTGGCCGATTGCAGGTGTGACTCAACTTGATTTCGTTTAGTCTGCAAAAAATGAAGTAGCCAATCTTAGCTTTCTAGCTTAAAAAAACTGTAACTGAGAGGATTAAAGTCTACCGCAGCAATGGGTCAAAACAGCTACATTTTTATCACTTTTTAAGTTAATACAACTTTATTGAATTTATTGATGTCTATCAATATTCATAGGCGACATATTCATGAAGTTTGGTAACAGAAAATTACGTGGGAGTGGACACCATTCAAAAAAACGGAGCGATATTACGGAAAACCGAACCGTTATACGGATGAGGGTGCTGATCATTCAAGATTATGAAGGGCTATTAAAGCCCGAAGGAAACGTTTGCACATTGGAAAACGAAGATTTGGAATCTTAAATAAACAGTTTTTTTTTTAACACAACATGCCGGAAGAAGGTAAAACACAGGCAAATTGTATGAGGTATGCAGTGGTAGTTGACGACCCCACATGACTCCGATAAATTCCAAAAAAACTAACACACTCATGTTTCATCCAAATTGAGATCTCTACGACCAGAGAAGTGATTGATTATGTTTGGTAAATTCAGCAATGAGCACTTGTTCATTAGCCCAGATTTTTGCCTTTTCCAGGTATCGGTTTCAAAACGTCACACTAGACTTATTAAAATTTACCTTGACATCACGCACCCCATATGAACATAGGGACAGGATACTATCTCAAGAGGACAGTCATTTTCAGTGTGATCAGTTATCTATGAGAGAAAATCATGAACTTAGGGGACCAGACCCAAGAGAAATTCAGCTTCATCAATTCTTGACTGCGGAAGGCTAAATAGTCGCGCTAGCAAATGCCGCTTGTGAGCGCCGGTTAAGGAGACCATGACAAACGAGTTCTAATAAGTGGAAAATCTCAAGCATATGCAGTTGGAGCTCATTCTGCACAAGATGAAAAACTGAACTTCCAGCACGTGAATTCAATTGTGAGAGAAATAAAGATTTCAACTGCAAACGCGAATTTGTACCACGTGAGTCCCTTTTACTTGCATGTCGTTTACTGTTTACTTTCTACCATTAAAATAATAGTTTCACGCAATTTTTTATCCATATAAATTGTTTTGAGCTGTTTTTATCTGCACATTTTTTATTTTGAGAAATTCTCAACTTGAATATGACGTTTGCCGTTCCCGGTATACGTGAAGCTTAAACTCTCAACTAACAACAGTTCACAGCATCAACGAAAATTTAGACTGGAAAACAAAATATGGCACTTTAATATCCTAAACTAGAGCCCTTCGGCCTTTTCTCGCGAAATTGCCACACCGCAAGCGTTAGGACACTCAGCAGGGTACTTTGCACACAGATTTATGTGCTCCTTGAAAGAAGATAGAGACAACAATCATGATTAAATTTGTCTTTATAACCCTTTGGCAACCGCTAGCAAGAAGTGAAATAATTTCACGCAATTTCCCCAACTCCTCTTACATGGACCGGTCTTAAAAATATTAGTAAAATCCAACTAGTGGTCTATTATTAATGCTGCGTTCTGACTGGTTGAGCTACTACTAGGATATATGTTATAGCCCACTAGTAACGAAAAGCGCCGGCTTAGAAAACCAAAACAATGGCGATCGAGTCGCGTTTTGCAAGCTTATGTTGTTTTGTCTCGATATTTCTGACCGTAGTTGGATTTTACTAAAACAATTATTCCTCTGGAAGAATACACAGACACATCAACGTCCAGAGTACGTTTGATGAGCCCTGCAATGTCGACTGCGCTTTTGCCAAACACACGAACTCGGTCCTTTCCTAAATTACAGCCGCAAAGAAAACAAAAAAATTCGCTTTTCACAACTTTCGCCGGAGTCTGATCCATACATAGGCATGGAATGAGAATATGGAATCACTTAAGCCGTATTTTACGGTCGAACAAATATTCCTCTCAAGCGATCTCTTTTCGCGGGAAATAATTCGCACCAGGTACCGTTCCTGTTATATCACAGCCCGTGATTGGCTGATCGTGACACAATGACTGACCGCTTTTTGGCTTATTCAAACAATCCAGAACGTAAATGTCGGCTGTGTTTAGCAGACGTCCGTGGGGTAGAAATGAATACGTGACAAACGAACCCCAAAGGACGTCTGCGGGGAGGCTACTGGATCAGCGGAAGGCACTATCCAAGGTTTGATCACCTGGCGCCAGGGCTCTAAAGTTGGTCAATTATGAATAATCAAAATGATATGGAGAAAAATTTAACAGCACGCTTACTTGTCAGCTTCTATTATTTAATAGGTGATGGTTTTACCTCTTCGTAGTATTTAGCGAGTGCAACACTACAGTGTGAACAGTGTATCATCCTCCATTGACATGTGACAGTCACATGTTCATCCAGATCCTTTCTCACCATGGTCTCTTTACAGTTCTCATTTGTACAAGAGACAACAAGCAAGAGACAATAATCCAGGTGTTTCTGTTATTGAACAAAACAATGTAATGTCAGTAATATTTATCTCATGTTGCATGTGCATGTAATAAGAAATACAAATAAAAAGCATGCACAAAAATATTTTGCGAATGTGTGGGTGTCCTAGATTTATTTATTAAAAGTGCATGAAAATTAATTAACTGCATTGTATGTTTGAATATATTGTTCTTTTCAGGTTCAATGACAGTCTAGGATAAACAGTGTAAGACTCCTGGCAACACAATTTTTACAGTCATGTATCTTAGGAAAATTTTAGGTAAAGCACATGTACTTTATTCTCTATTTTCCAATTCCCCATAATACACTCTGTCTGCCCCCCAAATTTTGTATAACTTATTGTCTTAAAATGCTCTTGGGAAAATGCAATACTCCCAGGAGCATTTAAAAACAATGGTTTATGCAAAATTTGGGGGGCAAACAGAGTGTATTATGGGGAATTGGAAAATAGAGAATGTATAATGTACATGATCAATAACATCAACCAGCTGAACACCTCATGGGCAGTCCTTAAAAATGTGCATTGAAATCACTGAAGGTATAAAAATTGCACAGCAATGTCTGCAAGTTGGTGTAAGATTTTCTTACCACTTATTAAAATCCCCAGTCAGTATATGTTGTGCAAGGGAGAAAAACTGGGAGAATATTTATTATTCAAGGGTATCACTTAGCAAGTTAAGCAGTCTTACTTGTTTTTCCCCAAGTGGTCCTGTCCACTCACAGGAACCATTTGGACACCAAATGATCAAGGACACAATCTTTCTCTCTGTTGCTTTGTCAGGGAAGGTGTCCTATGAACAAAGGCAAGCAGAAAGGCAAGATCGTAAAAATAACTTCATGAACAAGAAAAACAATTAGTGAATTAGTTAACAGACATATACTTACAATGTCACAATCCAACTTCACATTATCCACTGGGCAAGTAAAAGAAAACAGATCATCATTGTCTGACTTGTCATCCCTGCAAACATTGATCAATACACAAACTTTGAATTAATTTAAACTGATCCTGCCCTTAAGGATTACTCTCCTCAAAAATGACAAGGATCATCATTTGTACCTTTCAGGGTCAAAATTTGTGGCTATTAGGTTTGCTGCAGAACCTTACAAGGGTAACAGAGTTGAATCGTAAATTTGAAGGGATTTATTTGTTAGTCAAGTAAATAGTCAACCAAAATTTGTCAGTACCAGTTAAGTTCACTCCAGGGTGTGGACCCCCGGTCCCACCTGATCTGTACTCCACCCAGGAGGGCCACCCCTCCTGGTTCCCCTTAGTTCCTAAAGACTGGGGGATATGGGCCTCACCCCGGTAGACTGATCAGGACTCCTGTCCAGGTTGGCTACCCCTGGTACCACTCGATCTTGTCTCCCCCCAGGAGGGCTTCTCTCCTGGTCCCCTTACCCCTAGATTTATGCGCTTTCCTACCACCAGAATTTTGCCCATTACCTTTTGTGTGTTTTCTGTGTGGTACAAGGCATCGAGCCTTTATGCAAAAACACTGCCAATTGGAAGAGTTTATTAATTTGTTGTTTATTTAATTTGGTACCTCTTATGAGTGTGAATGAATCAACTTTAGCCATGCCCATAAAATGATCACCCTTAGGGGTGTTGTGAAAATTGTCCAACATGCACTCCTGTCATCTTTATGGGGATTACCCCAGGAAAACCTGCCACCAGAGCCTTTATTTTTCTTGCTAGCTGAGGGGAGGCCTTTAGCACATTTTTGGCAGGGGTGTGCAACTTGAACCCCTGTAACAATGCCAGACCACGTCTCACTATACAACAGACAAATACTTCCTTAAAATCACTTGAAAATTAGCTTGAAACAGTCGCCAACTCAGATTGTACTGTATATTAAGGAACAACAAGATCTACAATCACCAACAAATTTGACTCGAAGCTTCGGTTAAAAAAGTAGATTAATCACAAAAACGAAGACCCCGCCCATCAAAACATTTGGGAATCACGTGAAAATTGGTCGAAAAAAGGTAATCTCAACGAAAGAAAAAGCAAGAAACAATATGATATACCTAGGTGGTTTTCACGTTTCGTCATCGCCGCCATGCTGGTGGACGGTAAACAAAAGATCGCTCATTAGCTCGCTTTGTTTGTCCACCAGCATTTGTTCATTTCACCATTGTTATTTGCGTCTCCCGAGATTGCATGAAAACCACCTATTATCTCTCTCGATCACTTAAAAAATCAGGCATGCCCACGACATGATGAATATTATTTATTAAGTGTCGAGGAACAATTTTTCTCCATTTTTTGAACCCCGTACTATCCTCTATGAAACCCGGAGATATTGACCATTCCTGCACTTTTAATTTCCCACAAAATAAAGGGGAAAGAGGATTACATCTTTTTAAGAATACCAACTAATCTACAAGCACAATATAAATAAGCTTTCCCTGTAGCTTTGAATACATCAAATTTTTCTTACTTTTCCGTCGACTGTGTTAGTTCCTCGAGACACTCACGGCACAATCTGTGTCCACATCTTGTTTGAACGGGTTCACGTAGAGGTAAATGGCAGAAACAACACTTAACATCTTCATCTAAAGAGTTTACGAAGATCTCCTTGTACCGTGCCATTGTCAAGCTTCCGCCATGTTGCGTTGCAAACGAGGCTAAGGTACAGAGTCCTTGTTAATTTTTTATAAGTTGTATTATTTGTTACTTTTTTAAACTATTTTTTTTCTTGCTTTTATAGATTGCCCTACAATGTCGGTTCAAAATTTATTGTGTTTCTAATTATCTGTTTTGTTCCCAGTTTTTCATTGTTTTTCCTTTCCTCGTTTGAGTAACATCCGATTTTGCGTGATCTAGGTAACAGAGCCCGGCGACTCAAGTCACTAAACAGAGCATTATGTCACGCCACATGATATGCAACTTTCAAAATGGCGGGGGCAGCCAGACAACGGTTACCTATGGAAGAATACACAGACACATCAACGTCCAGAGTACGTTTGATGAGCCCTGCAATGTCGACTGCGCTTTTACCAAACACACGAACTCGGTCCTTTCCTAAATTACAGCCGCAAAGAAAACAAAAAAATTCGCTTTTCACAACTTTCGCCGGAGTCTGATCCATACATAGGCATGGAATGAGAATATGGAATCACTTAAGCCGTATTTTACGGTCGAACAAATATTCCTCTCAAGCGATCTCTTTTCGCGGGAAATAATTCGCACCAGGTACCGTTCCTGTTATATCACAGCCCGTGATTGGCTGATCGTGACACAATGACTGACCGCTTTTTGGCTTATTCAAACAATCCAGAACGTAAATGTCGGCTGTGTTTAGCAGACGTCCGTGGGGTAGAAATGAATACGTGACAAACGAACCCCAAAGGACGTCTGCGGGGAGGCTACTGGATCAGCGGAAGGCACTATCCAAGGTTTGATCACCTGGCGCCAGGGCTCTAAAGTTGGTCAATTATGAATAATCAAAATGATATGGAGAAAAATTTAACAGCACGCTTACTTGTCAGCTTCTATTATTTAATAGGTGATGGTTTTACCTCTTCGTAGTATTTAGCGAGTGCAACACTACAGTGTGAACAGTGTATCATCCTCCATTGACATGTGACAGTCACATGTTCATCCAGATCCTTTCTCACCATGGTCTCTTTACAGTTCTCATTTGTACAAGAGACAACAAGCAAGAGACAATAATCCAGGTGTTTCTGTTATTGAACAAAACAATGTAATGTCAGTAATATTTATCTCATGTTGCATGTGCATGTAATAAGAAATACAAATAAAAAGCATGCACAAAAATATTTTGCGAATGTGTGGGTGTCCTAGATTTATTTATTAAAAGTGCATGAAAATTAATTAACTGCATTGTATGTTTGAATATATTGTTCTTTTCAGGTTCAATGACAGTCTAGGATAAACAGTGTAAGACTCCTGGCAACACAATTTTTACAGTCATGTATCTTAGGAAAATTTTAGGTAAAGCACATGTACTTTATTCTCTATTTTCCAATTCCCCATAATACACTCTGTCTGCCCCCCAAATTTTGTATAACTTATTGTCTTAAAATGCTCTTGGGAAAATGCAATACTCCCAGGAGCATTTAAAAACAATGGTTTATGCAAAATTTGGGGGGCAAACAGAGTGTATTATGGGGAATTGGAAAATAGAGAATGTATAATGTACATGATCAATAACATCAACCAGCTGAACACCTCATGGGCAGTCCTTAAAAATGTGCATTGAAATCACTGAAGGTATAAAAATTGCACAGCAATGTCTGCAAGTTGGTGTAAGATTTTCTTACCACTTATTAAAATCCCCAGTCAGTATATGTTGTGCAAGGGAGAAAAACTGGGAGAATATTTATTATTCAAGGGTATCACTTAGCAAGTTAAGCAGTCTTACTTGTTTTTCCCCAAGTGGTCCTGTCCACTCACAGGAACCATTTGGACACCAAATGATCAAGGACACAATCTTTCTCTCTGTTGCTTTGTCAGGGAAGGTGTCCTATGAACAAAGGCAAGCAGAAAGGCAAGATCGTAAAAATAACTTCATGAACAAGAAAAACAATTAGTGAATTAGTTAACAGACATATACTTACAATGTCACAATCCAACTTCACATTATCCACTGGGCAAGTAAAAGAAAACAGATCATCATTGTCTGACTTGTCATCCCTGCAAACATTGATCAATACACAAACTTTGAATTAATTTAAACTGATCCTGCCCTTAAGGATTACTCTCCTCAAAAATGACAAGGATCATCATTTGTACCTTTCAGGGTCAAAATTTGTGGCTATTAGGTTTGCTGCAGAACCTTACAAGGGTAACAGAGTTGAATCGTAAATTTGAAGGGATTTATTTGTTAGTCAAGTAAATAGTCAACCAAAATTTGTCAGTACCAGTTAAGTTCACTCCAGGGTGTGGACCCCCGGTCCCACCTGATCTGTACTCCACCCAGGAGGGCCACCCCTCCTGGTTCCCCTTAGTTCCTAAAGACTGGGGGATATGGGCCTCACCCCGGTAGACTGATCAGGACTCCTGTCCAGGTTGGCTACCCCTGGTACCACTCGATCTTGTCTCCCCCCAGGAGGGCTTCTCTCCTGGTCCCCTTACCCCTAGATTTATGCGCTTTCCTACCACCAGAATTTTGCCCATTACCTTTTGTGTGTTTTCTGTGTGGTACAAGGCATCGAGCCTTTATGCAAAAACACTGCCAATTGGAAGAGTTTATTAATTTGTTGTTTATTTAATTTGGTACCTCTTATGAGTGTGAATGAATCAACTTTAGCCATGCCCATAAAATGATCACCCTTAGGGGTGTTGTGAAAATTGTCCAACATGCACTCCTGTCATCTTTATGGGGATTACCCCAGGAAAACCTGCCACCAGAGCCTTTATTTTTCTTGCTAGCTGAGGGGAGGCCTTTAGCACATTTTTGGCAGGGGTGTGCAACTTGAACCCCTGTAACAATGCCAGACCACGTCTCACTATACAACAGACAAATACTTCCTTAAAATCACTTGAAAATTAGCTTGAAACAGTCGCCAACTCAGATTGTACTGTATATTAAGGAACAACAAGATCTACAATCACCAACAAATTTGACTCGAAGCTTCGGTTAAAAAAGTAGATTAATCACAAAAACGAAGACCCCGCCCATCAAAACATTTGGGAATCACGTGAAAATTGGTCGAAAAAAGGTAATCTCAACGAAAGAAAAAGCAAGAAACAATATGATATACCTAGGTGGTTTTCACGTTTCGTCATCGCCGCCATGCTGGTGGACGGTAAACAAAAGATCGCTCATTAGCTCGCTTTGTTTGTCCACCAGCATTTGTTCATTTCACCATTGTTATTTGCGTCTCCCGAGATTGCATGAAAACCACCTATTATCTCTCTCGATCACTTAAAAAATCAGGCATGCCCACGACATGATGAATATTATTTATTAAGTGTCGAGGAACAATTTTTCTCCATTTTTTGAACCCCGTACTATCCTCTATGAAACCCGGAGATATTGACCATTCCTGCACTTTTAATTTCCCACAAAATAAAGGGGAAAGAGGATTACATCTTTTTAAGAATACCAACTAATCTACAAGCACAATATAAATAAGCTTTCCCTGTAGCTTTGAATACATCAAATTTTTCTTACTTTTCCGTCGACTGTGTTAGTTCCTCGAGACACTCACGGCACAATCTGTGTCCACATCTTGTTTGAACGGGTTCACGTAGAGGTAAATGGCAGAAACAACACTTAACATCTTCATCTAAAGAGTTTACGAAGATCTCCTTGTACCGTGCCATTGTCAAGCTTCCGCCATGTTGCGTTGCAAACGAGGCTAAGGTACAGAGTCCTTGTTAATTTTTTATAAGTTGTATTATTTGTTACTTTTTTAAACTATTTTTTTTCTTGCTTTTATAGATTGCCCTACAATGTCGGTTCAAAATTTATTGTGTTTCTAATTATCTGTTTTGTTCCCAGTTTTTCATTGTTTTTCCTTTCCTCGTTTGAGTAACATCCGATTTTGCGTGATCTAGGTAACAGAGCCCGGCGACTCAAGTCACTAAACAGAGCATTATGTCACGCCACATGATATGCAACTTTCAAAATGGCGGGGGCAGCCAGACAACGGTTACCTTCAGGGCATGAGGACGAGTTTGTGAATGAAGTTGAAGACGATTTTCAGTGTTTAATCTGCCACCTGCCGTTAAAGGAGCCTGTTCTTACACGATGTGGTCACAGATTCTGTAAAGGTTGCCTTGAAGAACATTTTAGAAGGTACGTCGACTTACAATAGAATTCGACTGAGACGGGCGTAAAATTCAATATGTAAGCTTAATTTTGGTTGGAATCTTGTTAGTCCGACCAATTTCCCACTTAATTGTCGCTTGTTTCTCTGTAATTATCCTAACGGTTAGATTCTGTCGATGTAAACCCTAGAGAAACACCCGCGCCATGAATCGTCTGTGATCACTTTTGACTCATGAGGAGGCGACAGTCAGTGATGCGTATAAAACTGAAAGGCAATCATTATGATTTCCATAGTGAAACTTTGTCGCATGCGAATTCGGACAGTTTCGATGTAAAATAAATGTATGCCAATCGATGAGATGTCTTATTAACACGTTATAATAACGTTAAGCTTCGAGGCGTACGACTAAATTAGTTAAAAGGGTCTACAGTTCGCCCCGTGGAAGCGAATCCAAGACAGTCTTGGTCAGTCTTGGAGTCTGGATTCCACGCGTGGATTCCGGATTCCTTGCAGTGAAACTTGGATTCCGAATAACAGGCTTCAAAGCCCAGGATTCTGGATTCCACGAGCAAAAATTTCCCTTATTCCGGAGTCCGGATTACATGGAGTGTGTGGGCCAATCGTCTAATATTTTTGAGCTCCCTCGAATTTCACAGACTCGAATTGACAGGTTACATGTAATACTTTTGTCGCCATACTACAATCATGACAGTTTGTCGTAAATCGTTTTGGGATGGAAGGGGTAACTTCAGATTTGACATTAATGACCACTATTCTTCCAAAATACAGAAGTGCAGCTGAAGGCTTTCCTCACATTTGCCCAGCAGATAGAGAGGATCTGGACCGAGA